GGTGCGTGGCTCCTGCCGTCGCTGCTTCGAGATCGGTCATGGCCCCCAAGTGGGGCAGGGCGCATGTCGAGCCATCTAGCAGCGCCGAACTGGGAGATCGAGATGAAGCGAGTTGCGTCCCTGAACTTGATCGCCTCCGACTGCGGCGTGTTTTTGTCGACCTCCTCGCACGCCGCCAGGCACGCGATCCACGCTTCATGGGCCCCGACAGCAGCGAGCGTGCCCTGTTTCGGGACTGGAGAGGTGCTCTGCTCCGTGAAGAGCTCGCCAATAGGCGGAGTGCAGACTGTCTCTTGAGAGCAGTCGTCGCCACGCGGGGAGAGCGGGCTGGCCGCAGAGCGGACGCTCGCTCCCCGGGCGCTGCGGGTACGCCCGCTGTGCGAAGAGGGGGCGCTGGCCGCTGGGCGGACGCGCCCCCTCCCCGAGAAGTGGTGCCTCTCTGAGGGCGTTGGTACCAGTCAGACTGGTAATGGTCTACTCCTACCAGGGAGGCATACCTGTTCGAGGTGGAGTCGAGTGCGAGCTGGTTCGTCTCGTCGCCGCCGCGCGGCGATGGGCGTAAAGCGTACCTAGTATTCCCTCGTATATAGGGTGTGGTTTCAGCAGAGGCACAGTATCGCCCATGTGTGGCGGCAGGAGCTGCACGCAGCTCTTTCGAGCGGCCACTTGTGGCAGGTTCGAGGACAGGTCGGCGCTTCGCGCCTTCGCGTGAGCGAACGCGTGCGCGCGTACGCGCGCGTGCGTGCACGTGCAAGTGCAACAAACGAACGAACGAACGAACGAACGACACGCCAAAGCCTTGCCGCGCGCCTTTTGTGCGGCGTCCTCCGATGAAACTTGGATCCGCGGCGGGGCGACCAGTCCCGGCGTTCGATCCCGTGGTCGAGAAGGCGTGAGAGCTGCACCGTCGCCGAGCCGGAGGCGGGCAAGCCCGAGGGCGCACCTGTGGCTTCGCGTCTCCATGCCAAAAAAAGAATTACATCCGAGCAGCGAGGAGCGGCTGCGGCTCTGCTTGCGGATGGGCCTCTCCATCGTCCCGCTCCCAAAGCGAATCAAGAGCCGGAAGCACGCGAGGAAGGTGACGAGCGAGTACCACCGCATCACCGAGCGGCTTCACCACACCACGTCGAGCGACGAGCGCGCCAAGTGTGCTGCGGAGCTGCAGGCGATCGGCGGCGTGGACGCATACCAACAGGCATCCCAGTTCAACACCGCCCTGCACTCCACCAGCCGCTGGGTCGCGCGGCGGCTTCGCGCCCACGGCGTCCTCGCCGCCGGCAAGCCGCCGCCTCACGTGCTCGAGATTGGCGCAATCAACACGCAGCTGCTCGACACGCCGGGGCTGCACGTCCGTGCGCTCGACCTCAACTCGCAGGATGCGCGCATCGAGCAGCGCGACTTCCTGACGCTGCCTCTCGGCGGTGCATTGGAGGCAAGCGGCGCCTCGCGGCCGTACGACGCACTCGTCTGCTCGATGGCGCGCTGCTGATACAAACCGCAGCTCCCAGAGAAAGCCAGCGGTGGCGAGCGCGGCGAGGTGTGTGGAGTAGGTGCTCAACTGCGTGCCGGACGCGCGGCGCCGCTTCGACATGCTCGTGTGCATGCGGGGCCAGCTGCGGGTGGGCGGCCTCTGCTTTGTCGTGCTGCCCGGCTCGTGCCTCGCCCACTCGCCTCCACCCTCCCCCCTCACCCTAAGACGAGCCCCCCCTCACCCTAGGCTCGTGCCTCTCCCACTCGCACACCCTCACCCACGACTCGTTCGCCGACTGCCTGCGCGGCGTCGGCCTGGCCCCTGACCTTGCCGCCGAAACACCCGCCTCGGCCAAGCTCGCCTACTTTGAGTGTGCCGCAGGCGCGCACCGGCGCCGCCCGCCTCCGCTGACCCTCCCCGCCCCTGCTGCCGCCTCCCCGGCCCCTCCCGGCGAGTGCACCGCCCACCCGCTCTCGCCACTAGCCCGCCCTCCGCCGCCCACCCCGCCCAGGGCCGCCTCTCCCTGCCCGCGCAGCGCCCGAGGACCCCCGCGTAATCAGCGTTCAATCACGATACCGAATAGGGCTCCCGGACCCCGCCGCCGCCCTCCGCTTCCAGCGCGCGCGGCACGAGCGGCGGAGCGGGCACGGCTCCCAGCCGCCGCGCCGAAAGTCGCGCGGTGCCGCCTTCGACGTCTACTTGGGAGGCGCCCTCGGCTTCGGAGAGCGGATTGGTGCTGCCCCCGCTCGTCCCGGATCGCCCCCCGCTCGCCCCGGGCTCGTCCCCGCTCGCCCCCGGCTCGCTGCTCCGGTCGAGGGCGCCCCCCGCAGCGTGGCCTTGACTACTCCCTCCCCCCCGGCGGCAGGCCGCTCCTTCGAGGCGCTGCAGCCGAGCCGCGCGCAAAAGGAGCAGCGGGCCGCGCGCGCCGAGTTCCTGCGGCAGCTGAAGGAGGAGAAGCTCAATGGGGAGAAGGGGGAGGGGGCGGGGCGGGGGGCGGGCGGGCGGCAGGCGGCGGGCGGCAGCGGCGACGGTGGCGACGGCGGCGGCGGTGGCGACGGCGGCGACGGCGGCGACGGCGGCGACGGCCCGATAGGGCAGCTGGCGAGCTCGCAACCGTTCTGCGGCCGGCTCGACTTCGCAGCCTGGCGGTGGCGGCCGGGGCAGGGCGGCTGGCTCTTTGCGCCCGAGGCGGACGCCCTCGCCTCGCCCGAGCCGGCTTGGCGGTGGACGACCGCTGGGTGGGAGCACGATTGTGCGAGGGGTGCGGCGAGCGAGGCGGCGAGGGCGGGGGCGAGCGAGGCGGTGCGGGCTGCATCAGCGAGCGGCGACGGCGACGCACCCGCAGCGGCGCAGCGCGGCGAGGTCGCCGCGGCCGGCGCAGCGCTCGACGACGACGAGGAGGCGACGATGGCGGCGATGGCGGCGATGGGTCGCCAGACACGGAGGGCGGGGCGGGAGGAGGGGGAGTCGGCCTGACGGTCCCTGCTGCGTCCCTGTAGGGCTTCCGACCAGCTTCAAGCCGGGGACCGCCTCCTCGAGCGGCGGGCCGGGCGAGGCGTTCTCCATGGCCACCGCCCTCCGGGGGGAGTGCGAGCCACCTGAGCCGGCTCTCAAGCGGGCGGCGAGGCGGAAGCTTCAAGGCCGGGGCGCTTCAAGGCTGGCCTTGGCTCCGCTCGCGCCGCAGCGGCCGGGGCGCTTCAAGGCCGGCCGGCAAGCAGCACTGCTCGGCCGGCGGACGGGCCTCGGCCGCACCTCGCGGCTGGGCCGCCTCCCGAGCTGCCTGAGGTGCTGGTGGCTACCCTAATGCCTCGTAACAAAGCGCACGCCGCCCCCCCCAGTGCTGGGGCGGGCGACCAGCGGGCGACGGGAGCGCCCAGGACGGCGGAGTTTTATACTGTCCGCTGTCCACTCTGTCAGAGAAACAAGAGGACACCTCACTCGAGTTTGAGGGTATAGGGTAACTCAGCTCTCAGGACGGCGGAGATTCATACGATAGCAATAGGGAAAAGGAGCAGAGCGCTCTGGGGCGCCGAGACCCGCCGCGCAGGACACAATCGACACTGAGGAGTCGATCTCCGCGTTCGACATACGCGATACGACCCAACAGTCGCGACCGAGATAGCCACTAGTGTGCGCAGTTACTCGACTGGGTACGGTCGGACACCACCCGCTCTCGCTACCCCCTGGCGCGAGCGCCGGAGGGCTCGGCTGACACCCACCGCACGCGCGCGTGGAATGACCCCCCCTCTCCGCCGCCCCAAGCCTGGTGATGGCCATGGGAGGCCCTGCTTAGCGCCGCGCCCCTGCAGCCAAACCCGAGAGCTGCCCGTCACGGCAGTTCGGTCCCACACCCTCGCGGATGGCCCTCCCTGCGCCGCGGCCGAGAAGCCTGCGAGCGAGACTCCCCGGCCCGGGCACCGTCACTGCGGTGGCGCGGGCTCCGCTGCCGGTGCCGGTGGCGGCAACGGCGGTTGCGGCGGAGGCGGCGGCGGAGGCGGCGGCTCCCCCTCGCCCGCGGGCGGCTTGGGCGGCTGCTCGGAGGCGGGTGCGGCCGCCGCATCTGCTGCCGCGGGCCGCTTTGCTTCCTCGCTGCCGCTGCGGCTCTCGCTGCGGCGGCGGCGGTCGCGGTCGCGGTCGCGGTCGTTCGATCGCCGGGCGCGCCGGCTGCGGTCGCGGCTGCGGTCGCGCCGTCGCTCCCGACTGGCGCTGCGGCTCGGCGAGCGGCGGCGGCGCCGGTCGTAGCTGGGAGAACGGCGGCGACGGCGATCGTAGCTGGGAGAGCGGCGGCGGCGGCGGTCGCGGTCGCGGTCGCGATCGCGGTCGCGGTCGCGGTCTTGGCCGCGGAACTGCGCCCGGTCGTATTCGCGGTCATAGTCCTTGGTTTGGCGGCTTTCACGCTCTCGGCTGCGGCCGCGATCGCGGTCCCACCACCCGGGACTCTGACTGCGGCTCCGCGAGTCCTCTTCCTCGGGCTTGCCGCCGCTGAGGAGCCGCTGCAGGGCGGACGACTGGCCCCACGCCGTGGGCATGAGCTCGCCGCCTGTTCGCACACGTCAAGCGTGCAGCGTGCAGCCGTGAACAGTGACAGTCCCTTTGGCCCAGTCGATGGTCCAGTCCGAGCCTGACTGTTCTTCACTTACTACATACATTTGGTTGGGTTTTTTTGCGCGACAGTGGGCGCCTGCGTTGGAGCCTAGAGCCCACGCTTGGAGGCGGTGTGTTTGCGGGGGGGGGGGGCAGCTTTGGGCGGTCGAATTCAATTTTGGGGGGGTTTACGTCGGTTTTGGGGATCCTGCCGACGCGCTACAGTTGTAGCCCCACTGCACATAAGATGGACACCTCAAGGGAGGGCCCTCGCAGCAGCCGGGGCCGACGCCTGCAGCCTTAGTCTTGGCCCGATCCGGCGGTATGCCACGGGTAGGCGCGTTGAGGCTTGCCGCCTCCTCTGCGCCAACGCGGCCTGTGCCGCAGCTTGCGATTGCTGCCAGACAAGAGGAGGAGCAGAGCCGTTTGGCGATAGGGCCAGGCCCTGTTCACGCGCACGCAAGACGTGCAGACAGGGTGGTGCCAGGTGAGAGCGAATGCGGAATGGCGCGGTTCACGCCTCGCACAAACAGAGAGAGAGATGCGCTCTGCATGGTGGGACATAAAAGAGAGCGAGTACTTGGGCGAGTAGGCCGTGCGGTCGACGCTGCCGCGCGCGA